TGAATATTTTAGAATAAAAATGTCAGGTAATTCTGTCCTGGGCTAATGCTTATATTCTGAAGGAGTGAGGTCTATGTTATCTGGAAAGATGCTTCTATTACTAATATAGGATTTTATAATTTTACAAAATATTGGAACTATATTCTAGTGCAGTGTTCTGCAAGCTTTTTTTTTTTTTTTTTACCAGTGATCCTCTTATTTAGATAAAAATCTGTTATGACCTCAGTTATTTATTAGTTGTAATTATCCAATAGTAATGTATTCTGAGACTTAATTTGTTCACTTTTTTCTGTTTATACATCATATTTTATTATTATTCCAATTTTTGTGACCCATAGTTTGCATACTACTCTTCTAGAGTACTCTCAACTTTCATGAACAGTAGAGAATATTACATCTATAAGCTCTCAAAAGCAAGTGAAAATTTTAATGAATGTATTTGCTTTTAAATAATAATTGCTTTAATGAATGATCTGAAAATGAGATTTGATCTAAGAAGCATTTATCATATTGTTTTCCATAGACTTTATGCCAAGGAATATTTTCAGATTTAAAAATTTACAATTTTTTTTTATTGTTTATCATAATTCATAAATTTTAAAATGATTTTTTATTAAATATACTTATTTTTAAGTTTTAGATGTTAAAAATATTCCAACAACATAAAAAACACTAATAAACATTCCAGAAGCCACTTTTTTTTTTATTGTGATAAAACATTTTTTAGATGTAAGGCGCATCATCAGATCCATATAAAAAAATTTGAAGAACAAGATACCATAAATGGTTTAACTTTAATCAGTTATAATATCTTGTTCTTCAAACTCTTTTTTATGAATTTGATGATGGAATTTGTATTGTCTTGAAAAATGTTTTATGGCAATTTGAAACAGAAAAAAGGTGGCTCCTGGAATGTTTATTAGCATTTTATGTGTGTAAATTTGACTGTCAACTACTGTAGTCATTTTTTTACAAAGAATATTATAAATGTTTCTGAAAGATTTTATAATATTTTTGAATTTTAATTATAATAAACTCCCAACAACCTTTAAATAACTAGTAAAATATTTAAAAGTACTACAAACGTTTTTGATCGACCGTTATTATATATTTTACCAGTACTTATTAATGAGTGTTGTTAGCCTGTATACAAGAATTTTAATTAAAGAAAAATTTAGAATAATTTTATTACCATTAACATTAATTACATGAAATTGCAAAAAGCTTGTCAAAAAATTATTAGGTATATAAAAATTCTCTATTACTGTATATAATTATTGATATATTTGAATGTTTTACTCTTTTTAAAATAAATAATATGAAATTTTCTTGGTATTGATACTTTGTAATAAATTTTTATTTCATGATGATTAAATTTGAATGAATCATTGTCGTCATTGTCATCATTATCAATGTAATCCAATCAGGGATTAGGCAAATTATCACTATCTTGTTGTTGGTCTTCTCTGTCTCTTTACCAAACTGGCAAGCAAAATTCTTATTATTCATCCACTCTAAGTACATGTTTTATCTTCTCTAAGTGACTTAATTTTATCATTGATGAAATTATATTATTAGTCCTTCCTAATGTCTTTGTTCTTGTAATAATGCAGTCTTGTACAATCTTTAGTGGCTCTTAGAAGCATTGTTTTAGTTGCTTGTATTGTTTTACTATCTCATCCCTGTACATAAATCCTTGATACACATATCCAAGGCATAAATTAATGTAGGAACAGCTTTGGTTTTATAAAACTTTTATTAAAAATTCAAAGATTCTTAGAAGAGAATTTATATATGAATGTGATCAATATAATCTTAGAAATAGCTAATAAATATTAAGTTTGCTGTATATGATAAATTGCATGTCTTTTTATGCTATATTCTGTTTTTTTTTCTATAGAATATTTGATTATAATATCAATAATTCAAGATGACATTGTCTATATGCACTTTGGTTTATGAAATTCCTCTGGAAATAAGTGAACAAATGTCTGAAATTCACTATTACAACAAATAAATTCTTCAACAATTTTTGTAATATTACTGCCAAACAAATTTGTGGACTATTTAACAGACTGTAATAACTCAATAAATAATCTGGCAATTCATTTGTCATTAGTAATTGAATTGAGTTGATGTATATGTTATTTCTTAATATTGCAATGGAAATAAATGCAAGTGTTCAATATTAAAATAGTAAAGGCTTAAATTACAAGATAATATTAATTTCCTTAGTTAATTTTATTTAAAAAAAAAATATTTTTGAATTTCATATTCTTATTTATTACTTAAATCTTATAATTAATAAAGATTCTGTTTATCTAGTGCGTTTGTCAATATAATAGAATTTTTGAATTTAAAGTTGGATAATAAAATCTTTAATATCAGCAAGAATATTTATTAAAGACCAAATATTTTCAACTGATTGAAGTCATCATCAGGTTCCATTATTTATATTTTCAATCATCAATTTTTGGGAATCCGAGATAGCATTTTCCCCAACTGAACTTAATCTAAGTTATCTTTTCATCACTTAGATTGAGTTCAAATAATAAATGATCATTGTCACCTTATATATCATCAATAAATGCTGTGATAAAGTGAGTTCACTTAAAACATTCCAATATATCAGCAGATCAAATTTATTACACAGCAATTAAGTTTTTACATTTTTTAGTAATTACTTCAAGGAAATGTTTTGAAATTTGATTCTCATTTTATTATTTGTGTATAAGAATGAAGTATTGTAAAAAGTGTAATAAAATTGAATATTCTAATATTTTAACCATTTTAGATTTTGATAGACACCTCTAATTAAAATTATTTTATAGTTTTATAAATTTATTATGGCATGTTTCAATATTAATATCAGAGTTTTAATAAGAATATTACTGTAACTGCTAAATTTCATAGTAACAATATGAGATATATTAGAGAATACATAATAATATGTCAGAATAAAAATTATTATAAAATAGTTAAGTTAGAACAAAATATAACAGTTTATATGTGGTTGTATTGTGTCTGTATACAATTTGGATGTCCATATACCTTGCTATTTCTTTATATATTGTATACATATCATGCTCATAGTCTATTATTGTACAGTTGGAATTGGTCACTCAAAATATAACTGTGTATGGATTTATTACTCTACTGACTGGAAATTTCTTTCCACCCATGGCCTTGGTCATTGCTATGTATTATATGGGGGTGAAGCTATATATAAGTTAGCTGAGTGCAATAGAGAGCTGTGAACATAAAGCCATTCCTAGTCAGACATTAGTTAGAATAAAGTTTTTAAGAAACAGTTATTTTAAATCCTTTATTAAACCTGACTTTTTGCATGTTATAGAAAAATAAATGTGTAAACAAATTTATTTTACAGAAAATTTGTTAAATGGGCATTTTATTGTATACAGTTATGTAAATAATAAAATTCCATTTAAAAAATTTTCTGAAAATTTTATCTTATGACAATAGCATAATTAAATAACTTCTTAGTTCAGGTATTCAACAGTTTTATTAAAAGAAAATTTTTGGTTAAGTATCTGATTATTTTTAACTGAAAACAACTCAATTAACTGATTAGACAGATTTAGAAAATGTTTTAAATTAAAGAGTTAAATTTCATGTAATGTTTAACTGAATTATGAGCTGAGGATGGTCAAGGACTTAGTCGAAAACATTTTTTATATTTTTATAGATATTTATGAAGATATTTATATATATCTAAGAAGCATATTATTTGAAAAGATATTATAAATTTGTATAAAGTTAAATCATAATCAAAAATAGTTTTAAAATTAATATGCTTTTGATAGTTACATTTTACTGTTACATGCAATAAATTTAATCTTTATCTGATCTTATAATAATCAAGTTTAAACTTTTCTTTTGTAATTTGTAAGTAATTGATTTGCAGCATATATATCACACAAGAATCTTTGAGCAATAACTGTAAAAGAGATTACTTGATCAATATTATTCTGTATCCACAAGGTTTTGTTGAAGTGAAACTGGATAAATCTAGGACCTACATTGAGAAAAGAAAGAAAGAGAAAATCATATAAATAAATTTAAATTTCAAATTTTGTATATTAGATTCAAATAGAATAAACTTTTTATTTTAAATATGTTAAATTTTATATTTTCTATAATCAATCATGGGAGTTTCTTCCTAGCCAATTGGCTATTGTATCTTACCAGTCTGGAAGGAGTTGCTCTATTGATTTGGCTACTGCAGCTATTATGGCCATTCATTTAGAAGGTTCAGACCAGTGATTTTTCTTTTGTGCTTGACGATAGCAGGACTGAATGGAACTTCAGTAATTTATCTCCAAAACAATGGAACAGATAAATTATTGTTTCTATCCAAATTTAAAAAAGTCTTTGAATATGGTTTTAAAAATTTAAGAAGAATGCAATTAATCAGCATTTTTTAATATGTAAAATTTCATTAATATTTCTATTTACATTTGTCCACATTTTCATTAAAATATGACATTGAATTATTATTTAAGCAAAAAGATGTTCACATATAATTCATATCTGTGACAGATGAAAATATTTTTAAGTTAATATTGACAATTTTATTTAATTATTAATAAGTTCAAAACATACTATAACGTTTTAGCAAGTAAAATGTTAGAAATTGTTAAGAAAGTCAAATTTTAAATGCATTGTTTAACATATATCACAGTTTCTAATTAAAGCAAACTCATAGACTGTAGTAATTTAAGTTTAAAAAGAATTACTTTATAAAGAGTAAGAATGTTAAATATAGATAAAGTTGGTTTTAAATATATTTTTTACTGCACAATTGAATTTTGACCTCTTTAACAATTAAGCAATTAAACTATATTAATAGTTGGCTAAATATAATTTTATACTAATTTTATATTGACCTTTTTTTTTTATAAAGATTTAGAAGTTATTAGAAATCTCATAATCATTATTAAATATTGTTTTTTCTTTCTATTTTTTTTTTTTTTTTTTAGCTTAGAATTCAATTCAATGACACAGCTACATCAACATTTGAATATCCATCTGAAGCATCTCTTTTAGAAGATAGTCCATCACCAAATAGTCCCATTCAATCCAGTCAAATAACAGATTCTGATATAAGTACAGTGGGAGGTACATCAGTTCTCAGGCCATCAGTGTTAAGTTCCTTGGGTGAGTTTTTTTTTATTTTTTTACATAAATTCTGAATTTAAGTATTAAACTTTTATTATAGTAACCATTTATAATCTCGATTATGCTATTTTATATAATTCTATTAAATTATTAAAAAAAATGTAACTTTTGTATTGAAATGTGTTGAATGTTTAATTTTTTTTTAATTAATTATTTTATTTTTTATTCTGATTCATGTACTATGATAATTGTATTGTAAAACTTAAAGATTCAACTTTAAACTTGTGTTCTGCATTGCTGGTTAGAATTCTTTGCATGCTGAAGATGGTGCAAAATGTTACATAATAATTTTAGTTTTCTGAACTTATCAATATGGTTTCTTAAATTTTAAATTTTCGGCTTTTATTTTCAAATATAAGACAAAATCTTTCATCTCCAGCAATAATCAAATAAACAATTTCAACAATTCTTAATAACTATCAGGTTACACATTCAAATCTTGTAATTGTAGAACAGCATTCCGTAAGTCATTGACATTGCAAGAAATTTTAATTTTTTTTTTTTGTAATTAATTAAAAATAAAAATTTAATTTTAAAGTTTTTTCTAATCCTAAGAAATTAATTTTTATGATCTTTTAAGTGTTGTTTATTTAATCAATATATTTATTTTTCATTTATTATGATAATTGTGAAATAATATATCTGATCTAGTTTTTTTATCTTATATTACTTCTCATTATTGTACAGAAATACTTTTAATTTTGGCATTATTATATAAAAATTAGTTATTTTGATTATTTTACAATGCTTTTATTTTCTAATACTATAAATTAATTAATTTTTAAGGAAATTTCTCAAATCAGATAAAATTGAAACTCTTGTTTTATTGCTCTACTTTTCTAAAAATGTTTCTACTTCAAACAAAGCAGTTTGAATTGAATTACAGTGTACTTCTTACTAATCCAAACTAAGTTGATTTGTTTTGTTGTTAAATGTTCCACTCAGAAACAAAAAGTAATTGTAGATTATTTTTTAAAAACATGATAAATTTGTAAAATTAATATTTATTATCCATTTTTTCATAAATATGTGTACCAGATAAACTAAAAAAAATGTTTAAATACATATGCGTAAATCAGAATATTAATGGTCTTTTGAAATTTTAATAACATTTTTGTTTTTATGAATACAAATTCATTAAAAATGTTAGGAAGAAATAAAATTCTCAGTGTTATTTAAATAATTAATAAATTATGTAATGAACTGTCTGCAATCCTTTTTGAATTCTATTCATGTATAAGCCTAGTAATTTGATAAACTCAGTAATTAGTTCAGATTAGTGAGCATACTCTGTATTTTTAAAAATTTATACATGGTTACCAGAATAGCGAACAAACAAACTAAAACAGAATAATATTTTCGTATTTAATCTTTTTTATATATAATCTAATTTTAAGAACTAGTGTGTTTGGTTTGGGTGTTAAATCTCTCTCTCATTTTTGTTTTTTTTTTTTTTATTGCAATTTCTTTTTGAATTATCTATTTTGAAAGTTTTCTTTTAAAATAGTCTGCAGTTAAATTTGTCCTTTCATAGTCCTTTTTTCAATTTTCTGTAGTACACTTCTATGATTTTCTTTGGCAAACTACATTCTATTAAAAGTTTTGCCGAATTTTATTACATCTACAACTTTCCAGATATTGAATAAACTTTTATAGCTTTCTATGAGAGAGATCTGACTGAGTGTTCACATTTTCAAAATGTTTTCGATTTATTTATTTTCATTCAAGAATGTAATTTATGTCATGATCTGTGTATATTCATATATTTTTTTTTTTTATTATAATTAACTTATTTTTTATTACATGAACCAACGTCAAGTAATAATTATTAAATTAGTAATTAAATAATTTTAATTGCAACCATTATACTGAATACACTCCATCAATAAAGTAGACTTCACTTACTGTAATTATAGATATGGTTATCAAAATTAATAGGTCTCAAAACATACAAGTTATAATACATTATAAAAATTACATTTATTGTAATCAGAATTTAGTTATTGTTGTTACTATCTTTAACTAAATAGGCCTTTTTATGCTTTATTTTAAATATGCAGGCTGATAACATGCAGTTATTATCAGCTATTGTTATCCATCTTAACCAATGCTTTAAGTTAATCATTTTAATTGTTATTTACTCGTAATACAATATTGCTTGCATTATGCTAGCTGTTGTTGAAGTTGGTAGCAGATAAACAACATTGGCAACAAGATAAGCAGATTAATTAATTAATTAATAATAATTATAGTTAATAAGACTTTAAGTTATATATTCTTTAATTGTTTTAACATATCCTTCTTATATCTGGCTCTTTTCAAACCAGAGAAGCCTGAATATTTAGTCTAATATGTAAAAAATATCATGCATGATATAAAGTGGTTTCTTTTGAAAATAATGAAATATGTTTTTATGTTTTATTGATTTTTTTCATATATTTTATGGCTTTCAAAGAGGTGGAGACTCGGCATGTCTTTCGCAATCTCTGTTTAAAACCATGTATTGGAAATAAATTTAAAAAATTAATTATTGAAAGTTATGTCTATTATATTTATGATATATTGAATAGACCAATGCTATGTGCAAGAATCCTTAATAAATCATTTCTAAGATGATAGAAAATTTTAGAATTTAGAGTAATACTTCAATTTAAATTTTATATTTTGAATACAAGAATTCAGTGTCATGATTCATAAGTTAATAAATTAAATATAATCAACAGTTAGTCAGCTGTTTTGTAATGAGAATATATTAAATGTAATTATTTACATTGTTAAAAGATATAATCATTTTAAAATAAATTTATACATGTTAATGTTGTAAAATTTCTTGTTACTGTAATTAATAATTGTTAATTTTGATGTAATGAGAAACCCAGAGAAAGATTAATGTATTAATAATTTCAAAATCAAATCAATAGGAGTGTAAATGATTCAGCTGATTTTTACAAGTTTGAAATTACATAAATAAAATAGTTTAATTTAATATTTCCATATTATTTTAATTTAATGCAATGTAAGTTTTCAATTCGATATAAAAAACATTTTAGTTTTTTATGTAAATAACTGATTTTAGAAAGTTATAAGTCCATAATTAAACATAAATTTAGATCAAACTGATTTTCTTGAGTGTAAAATATTTTTGTAAAATTCTAGCACTTTCAAGCTAAACTACTTTCTCTCAGTCTTCATTTTTCTCTCAAATCTTTCTCATAATGATGTGTGTAAATCTGAAAAGTGTTAGTTTTCTAAAGTTTACACTTTCATTTCAGCAAAACAGTTTGAATTGGATTCATTTCATATTTTATGCATTTTGATAACTAGAGAACATTATACAGCATTAAAATTAAATATATGTGTGTGTATGTATTAAAGTTATATTTTCTGTTTCAATAAATATTTTAGATGAATTTATATTATAAAAAATTAAATGTTTCAATAAAGGCAAATACACTTTGACATTTTCTGGTGAAGGATTAAAATAATTACATATCTATTAAGATTATTGTATCTATTTCCTAAAATTCTCTCATGCAGAAAATGAGTATGTAATATAAGGGAACGTTCTTGCACATCTTGCTATGAAAAACAGATACTCTTTTCAGTAGATTATGCTTTCAACAGTTAAAGGACATTGCCTCCTTTCATATCTTATAGATTACTTCATTATTCAAGGACTAAACCACTTGTTTCTTACTAAATTTAGAAGATATAATTCATTATTGTTCCAGAAACTTTATTTTCTTTGTTGAGTGAATGAAAATAGTGTTTTTTTTCATATATGAAAAGATATGTTTGAGTATTGATTGCACATTTATAAAATGTTAGTGTATCAATTATTTTATTAAGTAAATTGCATTAAAAAAGTTTGAATTGATTGTTCTGGAGAATGATAATGTTTTTAAACATCTGTAAACATCTCAAAGCCTAATGTTTTATTAATGAGCCAAATGATCACTACACAGAATCGGGATACTTTACATTAATTAGAATTTAATTAATAATAGCAGTAAAGTAGCCTGATTCTATCTGGTGATTGTTTGGCATATTAATGTTTTTAAACTTTAAAAAAATTGATGGATTAATATATATTTAACTGTGTAAATTTTAATCATGATTAACTGTAAGGGGTCAGAGAGACATAAGCTTAGACACTATGAAAAGTGCTTATACTGTATTATATTAAAGCTTCCACTGTGGGATCAAAATTTGTCAGACCCCAAGTATGAGATTGATTTCAGATTAAATTAACAAGTTTTCTAATAATATATTGGTAAATTTATATGATTATAAAATTTAAATATAAGAACATATTAAAGATACGGTACATTTGAAATTAAATAACATAAAGAAACTATTATGATATTATCTTACATAATAAAAATCTTTATTAAAAATAGGTAATTAAATAAATTTTAATGTATAGTTTTGTTTACATTTGTAAATATTCTTAAATATAATTTGATCTTCTTAAAATATTAAAGAAGAAGAAAAAAGTTTTAATATTTTGAAAACTAACATAAGGAAAGAAAAATAGAATATTCATCATACTTTTTTTGTTTTAAAAAAATTAAATTAAATGAAAAGTTTCTTTGAGTTATGATATTTAAAGTTTATTTACTCTTCGTTTTTTTTCTTTTATGTAAAATTACACTTAAAAATTCCATAAAAAAATAAAATTTCCACTTAAAAATAATTGTAGATGTCTATTTTCCTTCTTACAACTAACTACCAGATGTTTTTCATCCAACACACAATATACTTCCTTCTAAAAACAATTTACTGCTGACAAGAATTGTTCTTGACCGCTTGAAATTCTTCTTTATTTATTATTAGATTCATTTTGTTATAATAAGTATGTAATAATTACTTATCTTAATGATTTTAAAATTGGCTAATTATAAATATAACAATGGTATCATCATGTAATGAATACAATCATTATTAACTTATTATTATTAATTATTGCTCAAAATTTATTACAATGCATTTTTTAT